CCCCAGTAAGAGTCAGAAGTACGTCACAGTGATAAAAAATACTTTTTTGACCGGTTGACACGTCAGCACCATCAGGCGGTCCTATGTGAACGTTGCTTTACTCGGGCCGAATGCTTTTATTTTTTATTTTTTAATTTTCAACTCAACGACGTGGGAAAATGACTTTGTAATTTTTTTTTTTTTGACCAGGTAGTTATGAGTTAGCATCTTGATTAAGGAATCTAATTATGAGTCTGAAGCATTGATCAGTAAGTATAGAGGGAAGAGTAATCAAAGGTAAACTCAAAAAGATAGTGATAGACAATCTCGAAAGAGGTATAGTAAGGGGAAGTCTAGAGATAGTTCAAAATTCAAAGAGCAAAGTGACTTGTTACACCCGTGGAAAGTAAGGCAATTATCAAAATGATTGTTGACACAATAAAGATAAAGGTGTTAAGAAGAGGGCTAATACTCATGAAGAGAAGGAAATCAAGGAAAACACTATCGCAATCACTTTTAATGGTGAGGTATACTTTTTTTTTTTTTTGGTTTCTCGCCCGGTATCCGGGCTTCGCCCCGACTAATCCGGACCCGACCTGGGTCGCGCACCTGAAAATGGTGGGTGAGTTTCCCAACGAAGGCTGCTGCGTACGCAAGGACTCGAATTCGAGATCTTGCTTAAGCTGGAACAAGCCGATTACCACTTGATCCAACCCCTCGTTGGTATGGTGAGGTATACTTGCTGTGTGAGAATGATAGTATTGATGTTGCTAATTAAGATTCTATATATGCTGTTGATACTACTGCTTTTTATCATATCACACAAACTAGAGACTGGTTAACTTCTTATAGAGAAGGTGATTTTGGTTATTTGAAAATAGGAAATAGGTCTAAAGCCAAGAATGTAGCTGTTGAAGATGTTTGGCTTGAAACAAACATTGGTCCAAGTTGCACTTAAAAAATGTGAGACATGCTCCTAAAATACATCTCAATTTGATGCCTATGGGCATGCTAGATAATGATGGCTACCCTAATTATTTTGGTGATGGTACTTCTAAACTCACAAAGGGTATTATGGTTGTGGTAAAAGGAAAGAGAAGGTTTACACTTTATGAGACTCATGCAAAATAGTGTCCAAGACAAGTCAATGCAACAAGACAGAATACCCAAATCCACCCCCAAAGTATAATGGCAGGGACGGATTCACCCTTGAACAAGAAATAGGGACAAATCCACTCACAAAGTTTTCAACTTGGACAAATCATCTCAAATTTAACGTGTGATATTATCTGACATCAGCAATCTGTTAATTTGACATCATCTGACGTCAACAATTCGTTAACGAATTAACGGATTACTAATGGTAGATGATGTCACACCTTAAATTTAGGGTGATTTATCCAAGTCGAAAACTTTGTGGGTGAATTTGTCCCCGTCTTTTGTTTGGGGGTGGATCCGTCCTTACCATTATACTTTGGGGGTGGCTTTGGGTATTTTGCCATGTAACAAAGGTTAAGACTATTGAACTATGGCACAAGAGATTTGGGCATTTGAGTGAGAAGAGACTTTACATTCTTAATAAAAAAGAACTTTTACCCAGCATTTTAGGTAAACTTTCTAAAACTTGTGTTGACTATTTAGCTAGTATGTAGCATAGAGTTTCGTTTCATACTCTACCCCTATTTAGAAGAGAATATGCATTTGATTTAGTTCACACTAATGTTTGTTTCATGAAAGATAGAAGTCTTGGTGGTGCTGCTGCATATTTTGTGACTTTTGTTCATGATTTCTCTAGAAAATTGTGGGCTTATCATTTGTTTAGTAAAGATTAGTTGCTGGAAAATTTTAAAGAGTTTCAAGCAATGATAAAAAGAGAAACAGGCAAAAAATTAAAATGTGTCAGATCTGATAATGGTGGTGAATATAGTGGCTAGTTTGAACACTATTGTAGGGAACAAGGAATTAAGCTAAATAAGACTACTCCTAGAACTCCATAACAACTCCACAACACAATGGAGTTGTTAAAGAGATGAACAAAATTATCTGTGACAAAATTATTTGCATGCTTTCTCATGCTAAGTTGCCAAAGTTGTTTTGAGGCGGGGATTTGAAGACTGTAGTATACTTGATCAATAGATCTCCTTCAGTTGTTTTAAATGGCGATGTTCTAGAGAAGGTTTGGTCAAGTAAAGAAGTATTCTATAAGCATTTAAGGGTATTTGGCTACAGGGCATATGTGCATGTTTCAAAAGAGGAGAAAGCAAAGCTTGATGAAAAGACAAAATAATGTGTGTGCTTAGGATATGGTGATGGGGAGTATGGCTACAGATTGTGGGACTTGAAAAATAGAAAGCATATGAGAACTAAATATGTAGTGTGAGACTATCGAAGACTCAAAGAAGCAAGATGACAATGAGTTCACTTAGGAAATACTAGACAATGGTTATTGTACTCATTCAACACCTTAACCTAGTGCTATGAATGATGATCACAAGGTAGTAAAGAGTAGCTAGTTTGAGAGCCTATTATTGAACATCCTATTGAATAAAAAATACAATGAAAAGAACAAGTGCAACCATTACCACAACCTCAAATGAAGAGGTCCACTAGACTTCATCAACCATCTTGAAAGTACTTTACTAAGGAGTATGTGCTCTGAATTGATGGGGGAGAGCTAGAAACATATAGTGAAGTCATGGAGAGTGAAAACAAAAAAGAATGGTTGATGGCGATGAAAGAAGAAATGAATTTTGTGTAAGAAAATGACACTTATAAGTTGGTAGAGTTTCTAAAGGACAAAAAGGCTCTTAACAAAGAATGGGTTTTCAAAGTAAAGTTTGAGGACAATAATCCTAATCCAAAGCACAAAGCTAAATTAGTGGTGAAGGGCTTTGGACACTAAAAAGGCATTGACTATGATGAGATTTTCTTACTAATAGTGAAGACGTCATCCATTCGAGCTATTTTAGCTTTGGTAGCCAACTTGAATTTAGAGATTAAATAGCTAGATGTTAAGATAGCCTTTCTCCATGGTGACCTCAAGGAAGAGATTTATATGAAGTAACCTAAGGGTTATGAGGTGTAAGGCAAGAAGAATTTGGTGTGCAAATTGAAGAAAAGTTTGTATGATCTTAAACAAGTTCTAAGGCAATGGTATCGTTAGTTTGACTTTTTTATGGGGGAGCATAAATTTACTACAACAACATCTGACCATTGTGTTTATTTAAAGCTATATCCAAATGGTGATTTCTTGATACTTTTGCTTTATGTGGATGATATGCTAATTATTGGCCATAATACAAAGAAAATTGCAACCTTAAAGATTGACTTGAGCAAGTCCTTTTCTATAAAGGATTTGGGTCCAACAAATAAATTCTTAGACTGAAGATCTCTTGAGATAGAAAAAGCAAGAAGTTGTTATCACAAGAAAAATACATTAAAAAGGTGCTTACCAAGTTTAACATGAGTAAAGCAAAGCCTGTGGGTACTCCACTTGTAGGCCATTTCAAACTTAGTAGAAAGTAGTGTCTTACAAACAAGGAGGAAGTAGAATACATGAAGAATGTGCCTTATACATTTGCAATTGGCAACATGATATATGCCATTATATGCATAAGGCTAGATATAACTCACACAATGGGGATAATAAGTAGATTTTATCCCATCCTGGCAAGCAACATTGGGCAACTGTTAAATGGATTTTCAAGTATCTTAGAGGTACATCTCACATGTGTTTATGTTATGGTGAGCATGAACTTTTACTTGATGGTTAAAGTGGTTAAAGTGATGCTGATTTGGGTGGAGATTTGAACACTAGAAGGTCCACTTTTGGATAAGTAATGCTTTATGCAAGGGAAGCAATTGTTGTAAATTTTAATTAAAATTTGTAACCGACAAATCTCATTAATTTCAAAAAACATTTCTAGTCGATTATGAAGCTATTACTTAAAGATTTAATCTCAAGAGTTACACATTTTTTGAGACAACAACAGTTACAAATCAATTATTTTCAAAATTAATTCTAGTGGGTTACGAATTCATTGTTTTCAAATAAAATAAAAAATTCAAACTTGTGTTAGTTACCCATGCCTTCTTGTTTTTAAATGGATTCATGCATTTCTGTTTTTTAAATGGGTTTAAATCAATATATCATTACATCAGTTTCAAATCTCGTTTGGTAACAGAAAACATTATTGCATTTATTTGCATCAGTTTCAAATCTTTTGATAACCATATTCATTTCAAATTTTAACATGTTGTCTACTTCGGTTACATTGTGAAGCCCTATAAGAAGGCAACCTAAATATCTACCAAAGGTTGATACAATTTTATGATATGCACTCTTATTTCACAAACACAATATACAAACTCTCTTTAGGCAAGGACAAGGTGGTGGGGTAGAGTTTTCTTTACAAGAGCGTAGTACTTGTAAAGATACAACGAGGTGAAGGTTGGGCTGTTGTATCATGGGGGCAGCGTGACCATTAGAAACTGCTGCACCAGTGGCACGAAACATCCTAAAGAGAGTGATTGATCCACGCCTCAGCTTAAGCTCCTCATACTCTCGGTGACATCTTTCTAATTTTCATTTTCATCTTTAATTAATTGTTTTTGCTAAGTTTTTTTGTCTATTTTCTTCTACTTATTTTACGAGGAACAACAACAGTTTCATGAAAGTTTAAACAGTAGAAAGATGTATCTTTATCTACTAT